CCAGCTTTAAATGCTCCAGATGTTCTTCATCCTCATTAGATTTTACGACCACATCATCAATATAAATTTCCATAAAACGACCAATCATGTCATGAAAGATGGCGTTCATGGCTCTTTGATAAGTTGCACCCACATTTTTTAAACCAAATGGCATCACTACCCATTCATACGTACCAATAGCTCCTGGGCAGCAGAAATCGGTCTTTGAAATGTCCTCTTTTGCTATAAAAATCTAGTTGTACCCACTGTGGCCATCCATGAATGACAGAATTCGGTGGCGTGCTGCACCGTCCACCAATAAATCTACAATAGGCATAGGATATTCATCTTTTGGTGTTGCCAGATTTAGATTTTTGAAGTCCACACAGATTCTCAGCTTGCCATTCTTTTTAACCACAAGAACCACATTAGATAACCATTCCACATATCTGGAAGTCCTGATGAAACCGACCTTCAACAACCGCTCTATCTCTTCTTTAACTTTTAAGGTGACTTCTGGAGACATTCGTTTTGGCGGCTGTTTAAAAGGCTTGAAATCTGGTCTAATTGGTAATTTGTGCTCCACCAGATTTCTGTCCAAACCTGGCATTTCAGAATAGTCCCAAGCAAAACAATCCTTGTATTCATGCAAAATAGTGATAATTTTATCATGCAAACATGGCTCAAGAGAACCGCTAATAAAAGTAATTTTCGGATCTGTCTCAGTACCCAGATTTACCTCCTCGAGGGGATCTTGTACTTCTGCCTTCAGATCATCAAGCTTTGCTGGTGCCAGATCTAATTCCTCTAGTGTTATCTGATCCTTCAAATCTTCCTCTTCACCTTCGTAGACTACTTCAGATCTGTCTACACAGATTCGTTTTTCAGCAAGGTAAGCCGCTAATTTTCTCTTGATTTCTTCCATGGCCTCCTTTTTCTGGTGTTTAATTCGATCTTTCTTCATGGAATTTCTTCGATTTTAGGTTCCTCCCTCGGCCTAAAAGGAACGATTGCTGTAGGCCGAAGTAGTTCATCACACACCTCCTTCACAGTCTGTCTGTCCATTGCAGATTTGGTGTAGGCAGTAATTCCAGAAGGTCTGCCATAGCGGTCCATCCCAAAGAAACAGATAGTCCCAATATCTTCATCATAATAATGAGCTTCCACTGCATTAGTACTTGCCACGAACAGCTTGTCATCTGCTGTCACGACTTCAGTTCTGCCACCATTCCAGAATATTAATTTCTGATGCAAAGTTGAAGGAACACACCAGCTAGAATGTATCCAATCTCTCCCAAGCAATGCATTATAAGTGGCAATGGTGTCAACCACAAA